CAAAAAAAACAACACCCTGGTCAGGAAATCAGATGTAGAGGAAAGGGATTTAAGAGTTCCTGTTTTCTAGGCAAATCTGTTTGTATGTACCTTGTGGAAGATTGATAAATGAGAGAAAAAAATTTTAAAAAAGGGAGGAAAGATACTAAAATAAGTTTAGTATTCTCTGTTATAATCATTCAAACTGAGGCCTACTAAAAATGATGCACATAAAATTTTATACTCAATTTCGTTAGTTAACAAATTTTCCACAGATTTCATCTCTACTTTTTGGTGCATGAGTGTGCTCCAAGCTATTCTTTGCAGTAAACTATACATATTAGTTTTATCATCTATTATCTTACAAAAAAGAAAATTTTAAAAATGTATTCTTTAACATATCCAGGACATCTAATGAATGAAATTGGTGTAAATTTCAAATTACTTGAAATGTAACTGCATTTCTCTCTCATATATTTGTACCCACAATTTTATTTTGAAATCGGTACATGTGTGCCTGCTTATTTGTGATTTTGTGGTATACATATATGGTGTGCACATGTCAATTGAGAAAAATAACTAATATACAATGGGAAGCATTTATGTATTTTGCTCTTTTAAAATACCAACACAAAGTAAAAATTTTTTAACACTAAAAGATTGGAAAGGTAATAATGTAAAAGAAAAAGTAGATACTTAAAATGAATAAAGATATGTATTCAACATCACAATGAGATGGGCACCTCTTGTAGACCACTTCCTTTCTCCCTGCTCCCACCCCCAGTCATTACTAGGACACCCATTCTGCTGGATAAGCTCAGAAGCACTCCCTGAGTGCTTCATCCCCTATCTCTTCTCTCCTGTCTCGGGACTTTTCTGACACAGAAGCTCAGGAATTTATTATGAACTGACTCAACACTCAGATGACACAGCCAGAATCTCACTGATTTCCAATAGGTTCTAGAACAGAAAGAGTTGTCTAGGAGGTCCAGGTGAAGATGTGAACCTGTGACTCTTCCGGCCCTGGCGCTTTCAATAATGTTAGAAGAATTCATCCTGGATAAGGTTGATTTGAGGAGTCTCTGGAAACCTCCAGTAAGAGTCCTGGTGGAAATTCCCAGGGCTTGGAGAAAATCCTTGCCTTCTATAGCTGAGAGCTCAGAATCTGAAAAAGACATTTTGGCCTGCTCCTGAGTCTTAATATGGACTTTATATGGCTGTGCATAGGGGGACAGCAAGTGTCCACAGGCATCCAGCTGCTTTTCATTCTTGTCACAGCTGCAAACCAGGGCAGGCAATGGGAATGTTAGATCCGGAAAGAGGTCAAGCTGGTTGAGCAGGCGCAGGAAAAATACATGTGCAGATGGTGTATAACTCCTGTGTCTCACCAGTGCCTCCCTCTCATCTTACTCCCTGAACAAATACCTCAATTTTATAGTTTGTTTCTTGCTATTCACCTGATGGAGGAGGAAAAAACTTGAACTGATTTCACAGATTTGTCAGTATCATATGTTTGTGCTTCTCAGATGAGCAGGCACCTACCAAGCCCCACACTGGAGGGCTCATAAAAATCCTCCAGCAAGGAGAGCTTCCGTAGAGTAGGCCTCCTCATTCACATTGGTTTGTGGAGAAAATTGGCCTTAAGCAATCCTACACAGGGAGGGAGTCCTGAGTGAATGGTTGCTAGGTAGGAGAAGATAGAAGGGGCAAGATTGAAGAGCAGAATAAGGACAGATGAGAAAGAGTGGTAAATGGGAATGAATCAAGAGCAATGTGAAAATGTGTATGTGGGACACAAATACCTGCCAGAGAGCATCCACAAAGGATGTGGAACTCTGATAATAAATGGATACCTGAATCTATGGCTACTCACTACCATTTTTCTTCAGCCACATCAGTGTTTGTCCTCATCCTGTGAATGGAATGGTCATTCTGACCAGAATGAAAGCTAAATGCTGAGCCAAACAGCATGGACACCTGTGACCAATCTACTCTGAACTCATAATGCCTAATGCACAAATCACAGAGACCAACATTGAGCTCCCAATATGGTAGCCTCTTGTAAATGGACCATTGATGGCAGGTTAACTGCCTGAAGGTTAACTTTCCTGCTTGCATTGCAGTGCCTTTGCAAGCATAGCCACCCAAATATATGCAGAATTCCTAATCTGTTTTCATGATATTCTGTACATTTTCTCAGATAATGGGCCAAATGTGTGGCAACAGTTTCAGAAGAATAGACCTGTGACTATAGCCCACTGGTCAAAATACACAGAAATAGACAACCTCAAAGAACAGTGAAATAGTCCATTTCATGATGAACCTTTAAGCTTAAGCCAAAACATCAGCTCAGCTCCAAATCCCTGTAGGATGTAGATGCTACACATCAGTGTATGGGAAATTTGCTGAACTTCCCCTTTTATTTTTATTTTATCTTATTTTATTTTTTTTTATATGATGGCTGCAGCAGTTAGAATGCTAGGTAGAATCTGTTCAGGAAATAGATTGTGGAATCACCTTTACTCTATTTGACCAAATTTGACCTGATTTTATTAAATTGACCTAATTCAGAGAAAATTGTGCTAGAGTAGAAAGATGATGAATTTCAAATAATATCTCTATTACTAGTCATAACAGTGAGGTTAGTAACTTGTCCTACTAAACCTCCAAAAATAAGTCTTCAAAGAGATGGTGACTCCAAAGAGTACTTTGACAGATTGAACTTAATGAATGTTATGAGCTAAGCTGAATGTTGCAAAGTACAATCTACTGGATATTTCTTATTTCAGCTATTATTGAGGCAATGGTTATATGCCAGGATTTCCAGCTATATCTGGGTGCAATTTTGATAGAGCAATGCCAAGGAATTTCTTCTTTCTATCCAGGAAATTCTACAACATCACATGGAATATTAAAATAAACTCTATTTACATTTATGCTGGTGGAACCCAGAACAATGGGAGTTAAAGTCTTATGAAAATAAACTTTTCCTATTCTAACATGTTCTTGTTGGGTCTATTAGTCACAGTGATATAAAACTGACTAAAACACCTTTGCTGGATCAGGACAGCTTATTGATATATTGGTATTGAACATTGTCTTTGCGTGTGTTGGCTCTCCAGACAATGTTGAAATGCTGTCATCTTATGTGTTAAACACATTCACTTCCAGAATAGTGACTTTTTCTGTTTTGCCTGAGTGATGTACTACAACACACAGCTGATAGATGTCAGGTTTAGGAATTTAGGATAAAAGAACCAGTCTCTAAAAGATTTTCATCAGAACTTATTTTATTAACTAACACTGAAATC